TTGCAGCGGCGAGAATTCGCGGGGACCCGCGAGGAGATGTCGATTGTGTCGAGCTATTTAGATTCCCTGGCGAAGCTGAAGAAGAGGCTCAAAGAGACCCGATCCTCAGGAGGAGCAGGCGGAGACGACGACGAGGAGCCGGGAGCCGGAGCAAATGCTCCCCGCAAGTGACTCCGGAACCTTCTATGCATGCCAGTCCTTCTCCTTTGTTGATGGGCCCTAATTCTCAGTCTTCTTTTATTAGTTACACATCGTGGTTTGAAGGCGTCCAAGGTTTTCTGCTGGAGCGGTCCGGCACAAATTGTCCACTTTTTCCAGGTGTGCTGCCCTACCCGGAGATAATCCGTTCTGGGGTGGTTGGTGCAGAGGGTCAACTTAATCGGCTGGGTTGGGCAAAGCGGTTCATGAACACTTCTGTCTGCTGGTCCAACTTTGTCTCTTTGGGGTGCCCGTCTGCTGGTGGCCGCTATGAGCCGCGGGGAGGCTATCGCTGTCTGGCCGAGATGCGAGACTTTGCTGACAAGCTCCTTGCCGAGGTGGTTGAATTTGGCGACCTGGAGTTGCTTAGTGGTGTTCTGGCTTGCGAGGGTAAGCGGGGCATTATTGATGAGCTTCTTTCCCAGGTTCAGTGTACAGTTGGTGCATGTTATGCTGATTTCCGGGGCCCGGGTGACGGGGAGGCTGGGGTACCTACTCTTCCTGTAAGGGCTGAGCGAATTGCGGTGCCGGAGGTGGCTGGGACGGTGGATCCCTGTGTACTTCTCGATCCGGTTCGGAGCGAGGTGGTGGCCAACTTGGATCGTTTGCGCAAGCCAGAGTGTGAATGGGATGAGGTGGTTCGTGCTTTCCATCAAGTGCCGCGGGATGAGGAGGACAAGGTGGTCAGACGACTTCTCTCCACCAAGATGGCAGTGCTGGTTCCTGAGAGTGAACTTCCTTGCAACTCTAGAGGCAGGCTTTTGGTGGGTGGTCTGTTCTCAGTTCTCAAGAACGAGCGGGAGGACCGGCTTATCTTCGACAGAAGGCCAGAGAATGCCACCATGCATCGGCTTCGTTGGGCAAAGCTGCCGTCAGGTGCATGCTTCACAAAGCTCCTGCTTGGCGAGTGTGAATATCTCAGAGGGTCGGGGGATGATCTTCGGAACTATTATTACATGCTGCAACTGCCGAGTAATTGGGTGCGCTTCAATGCAGCTGGGAGACGTGTGTCTGCTCAGGTTCTTCGTGAACAAGGTCTTGACCCTCGAGTGCCGCACCGAGCTTGTTTTGCAGTCCTCGGCATGGGGGATAAGAATGGTTGCGATATCGCTCAGGCAGTACATGAGAGTCTTCTGCAGAGGCATGGGTTATTGAGGAGTGAGTGCACTTTGCAGTACGGAACCCATTTGCCCGAGGGCGAGCTTCTGGAGGGAGTCTATTTAGACGACCTGCTGATCGCAAAGAGGTGCGCTGTGGCTAATCCCGTTCCGGTTGATGGCTCCTTTGTTCCACCTGCCGCCCAGGCCGAGGACTTGGATGTGGTTCATGTCAAGGTCGCGGAGGCGGCTTACAAGGAGGCCGGATTTGCGAGAGCGGAACATAAGGCTTTCAGACAGTGCACTTCGTTCAAAGCATGGGGTGCGGAGATCAATGGAGTGATCGGTAGAGCCGCGTGTCCTTTGTCGGCAAGGCGTCAGCTCTGGCATCTGCTGCAGAAGTTGGTGGCAGGCGGATGGGCTTCGGGTGATGTTCTGCGGAAGGTCAGCGGTTATCTCTCTTATGCTTTTCAATATCGACGTGAACTGTATTGTTTGCAACATCATCTCTACAAACACATAGCCAGGTTGGAACCGCGGAAATGGGTCCGTCTTCCGGGACACATACTTGATGAATTGAGAGCCTGTGCCTTACATCTTCCATTCGCATTTTGGGACATGCGCCGGCCTTTGAATCAGACTCTGACGGCCACTGACGCAACCCCCACGACAGGTGGATGTGTCTCGGCTTCCATTCCCACGACATTGGCGGCGGCCTTGTGGCGCCACACTGAAGTGAAAGGGGAAGCCACACGGCTGGACAGGTCTTTGCTGCTGGAGCTTCAATCGGAGGCGCCTCGGGAAGCTTCGACTTTCGCTAGCACCGTGGCGGAATGCCTAGAGTGGAAAGTTGAGAGCAGCTATGTTTTTAGGGAAACGTCGCATATCAATTTGCAGGAGGCAAGAGCTCTACGTAAAGAGGTGGTGCGTATGGCCGCGGACCCAAAGCATCAGGGCAAAGTGTGCATTTTCCTGAATGACAGCTTCGTGGTGACGGGGGCTTTTGGCAAAGGTCGCTCCTCCTCATACAAGCTCAATGGTATCCTTCGAGGCCTGCTACCTCACCTGGTGTTTGGTCGCCTGACGGTTGGGATCATTTGGATTGAGACAGACTCCAACATTGCTGATTTCCCTTCCAGGTTTACGCCTCTTCCTGCCCCAAAGGTGGCTCCTCCATGGCTTGCAGGGCGTTTTGGGGTTCGAGGCTCAGTGAAAGTTGGTGTGGAAGTCTTTGCAGGATCAGCCCGTTTAACTGATGCGCATCGGAAGCGGGGATTGAGGATGCTTGATCCTGTTGATCTCTGTTACGGACTGGATGCTTTCGATGTCCGCCTGGACAAGGCAATTCATGACCGTGAAGTGTTCTGGATCTGGTTGGCCCCGCCCTGTGGGTCCTTTAGCCCGCTGAGGAACTGGGACCGTGGAGGGCCGCTCAGGCCAAAGGGATTTCCAGAGGGAGATCAGTCCAACCCCATGGTTTTGGCAGGCAATCGACTGTGGAGGCGGGCATTGTATTTGCTGGAGCTTGCTCTGGAGGCAGGGGTCTTCGTATTCTTGGAACACCCTTTTAACAGTGCTGCATGGCGCATGAGGGAGAGCGAGGTCCGTCTCAAGCATGATTCTTTGTGCTCGTATCGTCTGGATTGGTGTGCCTTTGCTGATGCCTTCCGCTTGGGGTTGCCCACACAAAAGCCCACTCGTGTGATCACAAATGCTCCATGGTTCAAGGGTGTTCCACGCACGTGTCCCAAAGATCATGAACATGGTCCACCATTGAGGGGAAAGAGGGCTCGGTTGGCTGGTGCTTATCCCACTGAGTTCTGTGACGTCCTGGCAAATGCGCTTGCGGAGTGGTCATCG